TATATATATATATATTTATTTATTATTATTTTTTTCCCTCAGGGACTAACAACAGTCCACGCGACCCCCAAGATCGCGTGGAAAGTCGGATGTTTTTTGGTCCTGTTGGCTTTCCATATCCACCTAACCAGCAGCAGTTAGCTGGTGCGCATTCGCTCTTCGTTCCGCAGCCGGATCAATAAAACTGCTGCATTTATCATGTTAGTCCTAACTGGTCGTGAGCATGCATCTGCTCATTTTAAACCGGATTCCTTCACCGCACTAACGGACTGACATAACTCCCGGTGAGTTAGCGGTGTCTGCTCTGCTAGCGGCGAACCGAGCTGCTAACGGCCGAGCCGAGGCGATGTTTGGGAGATGGATCTGAGGTGCTGTTCGGCCTGCTGGCTAAGATGACGGGCCCACCGAGCCTGGCTGATGCTCCTCTATCAGCAGCATGGGTACCAAGCACAGGCCGACCAAACAACCGTTTGCTCACGGACTTCTGAATCCGAAGGTGATTTGCAGACACAATGGGAGCATGGGTAAGGGAGGTGTGCTGTGATGTCATGATGATCGTGTATCAGGTGAATGGTTCCCAGTTGAGAAGCAAGGTGACCTGTCAGTGGAGCCTCCTGCACACCAGATTACGTTTGCAGACTAAGATTATGTAAACATTTTTAAATAGTCCTATTGGATCCTAATCCCATAAAATATTTTACAGTGACAAAGAAACTAAAGCATCATATCAACTTAGTATTAGAATTGATGCTTCTTCCTCTGTTTATTTACACCCATTCAGCTAAGAAAGGCCAGCAGCAGCTGTGATAGATGATGTATGTATGGAAGAGGATTAGGGCCACTGAAAAACAAAAAAAAGTTAACTAATTTAACAATTTTATATCAGCATAATATGAGAATTCTCAGAATTCTGACTTTTTTTCTCAAAACTATGACTTTAATCTCAGAACTCTGACTTTAATCTCAGAATTCTGACTTTTTTTCTTAGAATTCTGACTTTTATTCTCAAAACTATGACTTTAATCTCAGAACTCTGACTTTAATCTCAGAATTCTGACTTTTTTTCTTAGAATTCTGACTTTTA